CATGATTCAAAAAAAATATATGTTGTACACGTGTGCGCATATGTATACGTACACAGCCTGCACATGTACAGAGATGTATATGCATCATAAGCCTATAAGGAAGAGCAAATAACTATTTTAAACAAGGCAGAAGATGCCTTAAAAAACAAAAACAGAAACAAACCAACAAACTTCTCCAAAAAAATGACCCCAGTTTATAGAGAAATCAATCACCATAATCCGATGGAATTATTTTTTAAAAGCCAACTAGAGTACCTCTTTAACAAAACCTTCCCAAATATTCTTATAAATCTGGCAGAGACTAAGACTCATAGAAATGATGACGTTTGTCAAGATACATGCTCCAACACAGCTATTGTTACAAATCACACAGGAAGATTTGTTATTAATCCTGGGTGGTTTTATTGTGTTACAAAAAACAAGAGGGAGAGACAGAGAAAGAAAAAGATTCCAGTGAAACTGTACTTAATCTACTTGATAAAAAAAAATGGATGCACAACAATAGAGAGATTGTTCAAACTTTAGCTGAGGAAGCAACAGATTTATTAGTGAAGTAGAACATTGTCCATTTACAACTTCACTCCCACACTTTAAAAATAAAAACTAGAAGAGAATTTAGCATTTAACTTCAGAAAACAGCAATGAGAGGCGGTTGCTTTGAGTTGCCCGATTGATTTTTTTAGGAAAGTTCAACAACTTCTGCAAAGTTTAACATAAGCATATGAAGAATTCTTAAGGCATTAGGCTTTCACTGTTAAATAGAGCAGTCTCTTATTTTCAATTTTTTTAAAACTAAGAGGAAGAAAGGCAGCATCTCACAAAGCACAGTGCTGAAAAAAAAAAAAATAAAAAAAATCACAATTTCGACAGAACTTTTGAAAGCCTTAAATATAAAGAATCTAAGAATCTCTTGGTGATGTGAAATTACCTACTCACACAAATATACAAAACCCAAATTCGGAAGTAATTTCAATAACAAATTACAAAAAGGCGTATGTTAGCTTGCCTGTATTTCTCTTTTCACAAACTTTCGAAACCACAGTCCATGAGTAACAATTCCAGCTAAGTCACTAAAAATCCCCAACGCCTAGAACATAACGCAGCAGGTTTTGAGGATTTTTGCCACTCATCAGAATCTATTTTACCAAGTATAGGGGCCATCAATTGCTGACAAGCGAGACATCTTTCAGGTTATGATTTCATTCATCAATACTGTTATGATTGTCAGGGATTTTACCCTGCCTTTCTCTGACAGAGAAAGGAGTGACTGCGCTGACAATTACGCCATGCGTATAAGATAATCACTAAGGACAGGTGACTAGACATTAATTTATGAACTAGTTTTTACATTACTGAGTGCAACTACTAATACTGGGGAAGTTCTGTTCAGAAAGACTGGTGTGAATCTGATAATTGCTACTTTCTTTCAGTTGCCTAGTAATTCAGCACATTTTCCGCACATTTCATCGCAAAGCTATTAAAGCATAAACGTCTCAGGAATTTTTCATATATGCTATTCTATGTCATTGATATATACGGCAATGACAATTCTATAAGTTGCTTTTTGTCATGTGAACACTGCATTGCTTTTCCCGATAGAGCGAAGAAGGAGGTAATATATTAATCTGAACGTTTACAAACAACCTAAAGAATGCCAGAGAGCAGCCAAAGTTTAGAAAATCATTATTTTTCCTCACACTCTAAGGTGACACACTAAGGTTTCCCATTCTTCTCAATCCCATCTGCTTTAGGTCGCATGTTTCATTAACGGAAAACATGCTTATTTTAGCCGCTTTGGGATGAGTATTCCTTTTTTACTGTGTTAACTGCAGTCCAAGGAGAGAATTACAGTCCCAAACCCTTAACATCTTCTGACATTTCTGACGATGCTGACGTGCTACAGAGCTGCTTTTCTGGTCCTTCTCAAGAATAAGAGGATGAAAATTAAAAAATAAAAATAAAAGGGGAAGGACGATAAACAAACAAACAAAAAAAAGCTTCACATAAGAAAATCCTCATCACTTTTGGCAACTTGGGAAGTACTCTAATGCACCAAAGCTCTTTGCTACAAAAAGTATCTAGTCATCATGAGTCAGAATCGCACTCCATCATGTACAGTGCATAAAAGTGATAGATCGCCGCTCAGTTACTGCCCTGACTGCAACCCAACCACCAAATGGGTCATTTCACTCGGCCTTGGAATACCCACCCATCGGCATCCTTTCCCCGCTTAGTCATCTTGTAAAAAGCTTTATGTTACAAAGCAAAATTACATGCACATAAAACACCTAATTTACTCATTTAAACTCCATGCCCAAGGCTAAAGTTCACTGAAACCTCAGCGTGGAATAGTGATGAGCACCAACCAGCGGGGCCTGCCCAGGGAGAGGGCTGCAGGGAGCAACTATTCTCCGCTCCGCTGCCAGGCCGACTGTCCCCGGCTCTCGCATTCAGGCATCTCTCCCAACTACAAGTTCTCAGCACGGGCGTTCGGGGCCGAGCACATTTTCGAGGCACGGTTTCCCAGCGCCCGGGCACACCGTACAATTTCTGAATGGGAACCGGCCGGGGTCCCCTTTTGTCGCGACGCTATTCTACCGGTTCTTTTTCTCCTCCCGAACCAGCCCCCTCCCCATTCGTTTCCCCTCCTCTTCCCTCCCTCCCCCATAAAACCCCATAATCACATTTGAGAGAGGCTCCGCACTTATCCGTTCCATATGGCTCTTGCGATCCAGGCCAAGCTTTCGCTGTGACCTTTTAAAGAGACAAAGAAGCAAAGTACTTATCTAGAAACAGAAACACTGCAGTTTTCGGAGTGAAATTAGCAAAACCGACCCGAAACTCACCACTTCAAAACTTGACAGCATATAAATAACAAAAACAAAGGAGGTTTCCTTTGCAGCCCGAGCTCTTGAGGAGGAAGAAGTTCGAGAGTGATGTTTTCCTAGGTCCCCCCTTTCTGGGGGGTGCGGGGGGCAGCAGACCTGAGGGCTACTTCCCCTAATATTCTTTTTTTGTTGTTGTTTTTTTCTCTTGTTTTCTTGTTGCTATTTTCCTTTAGGCGGGGAGGGGCAAAAATAGGTAGCGAGAAACAGAGTAGCCATGAGCAAAAATGGCAATGGACAAAAAAAAAAAAATAAAAAAATAATAAAAAAAATCTATATTAAATATCTTTTGAGAGAGCGGCAGAGGAAGGAGCTGAAGAGCAATTGATCAGACAAGTGCTCAAAATTCAGAATAAAAAATAAAAATAAAAATAAAGTAGCAGGTTTAAATGGAGGTGGGAGGTGACTTAAGTCTGGCTGTCCTTTCAAAAATAAAACCAATGCAAGTGAGAGAGGGGGGTATTAGGAGGGGAAAAAAAAAAAAAAAAAAAAAAAATAAAACCCAAAAAAAAAAAAAAAAAAAGGCAGCTTTTCTATCCAGTGTGAAGAGCAGAAAGTCTACTTCTAGGTTGTCACTTACACTATTATTCTCCAATAGGCACCCAGAGGAGCAGCACACACAGAAGGAGCCCGCTCCCCTCCCCCTCCGCAGAAATACACACCGTAACAGCCCCCAAACTTTCTGCGGAAACCTCAGCCTCGCAGATCGCTACTGGAGATTAAAAAAAAGAAAAAAGAAAGAAAGAGAAAAAAAAAAAAAAAAAAAAAAGTGTCGAGAAAATCGCAGGAAAAAGACACTAAAACGCCACTTTTAATCTCGCCTTTGCGGTCCCGGGAGGAAAGAAAAAAAAAAAAAAAAGCAGAGAGGAGGACCTGTCTCCTCTCATTTACCGGGGGCTGCTGTGGGTGCGGGGGGAGCGCAGAGAGAGGAGGGAGAGAAAGCGCGGAGGGAGGAAGGAAGCACCCAGCAGCACCACTACAAAAAGTGACGAGGTTGCACTCCCTGCGAGTCCAGAGCCGGGAGAAATGAGAATGGGAAATAATAATAATAATAAAACAATAATTTAAAAAAAAAAATCACGAAAAGATCAGTGCTTTAAAATAAATAAATAAATAAATCGGGCTCCCTGTCTGCAAAGCAAAAGAAAAAATAATTATAATAAAATAAAAATAAAAATCTGGGAACTCCGAGAAGAGTTACTAGCGAGATGGGGGGTGGGAGGGAGAAAATATCAAATAGAAAGATTGCAAAAAGCCAAGAACAACAAAACCCAAACCAGCCAAAAAAAAAAAAAAAAAAGAAAAAAAGAAGAAGAAACAACAACAACAACAAAAAAAAACAACTGCACACACACACACACAAAAATACTCAACCACAATAATAATGGAAAAAGAATAATAATGGCTGGCTTTGTTTTTTTGTTTTTTTTTTTTTGTCTCCCTCCCTTTCTGTTATTTAGTGCTCCCTTCCCCTGGCTGCCTGGGCACGGTGGTGATTTAGGCCGGTTCGGTGTTGTTGCTGGATGTTACACGGATATCTGTGTGTGCGTGTGTGTGTGTGTGTGTGTCCCCGGCCGGAGCTGCTCGCTCCGCTCCCCCCCCCTCTCCCTCTCTGTTTCTGTCCCCATTAAATTATTAGTTGACTCATCACTACTCCTCCTCCTCCTCCTCCTGCTGCTGCCGCTGCCGCCGCCGTCCCCTGCTCACAGCCTCTCCTCCTCTCCGCTACCGCTCGCTGCCGCCGCTGCCGCTGCTTCTTCTTCCTCCTCCTCATTTTAATACAAAATAACACCGAGGCCACCACCGGCTTTTTTTTGTTTGGGGGCTCCGGTTCGGTTGGGCTGGGCCGGCCGGGGGGGGGGGGCCCCACCCCCGGCGGGCGCGCGGGGGGGGGGGCCGAGGGAAGAGGGCGTGCGGCTTCCGGGCGCGCACGAATTTGCAGGCAGCTGGGTGCGGGTGAGGCGGCCCTTACTGCGCTGCGCCGCCACAATGCCCAGCGCGCAGCGCCGCGCAACGCCCGCAGGCGGCAGATGGGGGCCTGCGGCGGCGGGAGGTGGGGGGAGAAGAACGTCGGGGAAGGGGGGGAGAGGAGGAAGAGGAGGAGGGGCGGGGGTGAAGGCTGAACAATATCCTGCCGGCGTGCTCGGCGCGGCCCCCACCCCGCCTCGTGGAACTGTGCGGTGGGCAGGTGCATGGCGGCAGTGCGGGGCTGCGGGCGGGGGAGCGAGCGGGGCAGGAAGTTTGCTCTTTCCCCTCCTAGCTTTATACCGACGGAGCTGAAGGAACAGCGGCGGGCGCGCTGCTAACGCACAGCGGAACCCCCATCCCCCCGCCGCCCCCTTTCTCCTCCCCAGACGTCCGGAGGGGTCACCCCGCAGCGCCCCGCCGGGCCCCGAGGCTCCGCCGCCGCAGCGCGGACGGGAGGGGACGGGCACCGCCGAAACCACGGAGAGGGGCGAAGCGCGGAAGATGGTAACGTGGGGACAAAATCAATAGCTGCCAGCCAGTCGTAGGGCTTCCCACAATGCACTCGGGAAAAAGTAACCCAACTAGACAAACTTGAACGCAACAAGTTTGTACAAGCCGCGAGATAAGGGGGAAATTAAACTTCTTTATTGATAAACTGCGCTCTGTTTGTCTAGGCTGTGTCTGGAAAGGAGAGTTGCATCATCAAGCAAAGAAGGGATGAACTGTGCTACACAAGCAGACACACAGCCAGAATAATTAGAGTATCAACTTAAGAGAATTTGTGAACTGCACATGCAAAATTGAAGGAGCAAAGGTGGAGGGGAGTGGGGAGGGTGATGAACAGAGCATGGCCTCTGCACAAAGAACAGACAAATCGATACATATAGGAAGAGCTAAATTATCACTACGCACGTTACTATAAAACAAGGGGAATGTATCAGGGCTAGGTAAAGAAAGAAACTGACGTTTACTGAAATAAACACAGACAGCATGGAGAGAAAAGGAAATTGGTAATAGGGTAAAATACATGAAATATTTATCATATCTAGCAAGGCACAAAATAGATTATAATCTCAGAAGCAGAGAAATGAAATGCTCAAAAATGAGTACAATGTTACATAACGCTGTTAGTCAAAGCAGAGAAGTAGAGGTGGAATGCATAGGAAACATGAAAAGTTGTACAGATGTTGCATGTGCTGAAAAAGGTTACTAAGACTGCTACCGAGAGTGCTGAAAGGAAAAAAAAAAAAAAAAAAAAAAAACAAGAAACAGGTTTCACAAAGAAAAACAAGGGAAAATGTCAATGACACCTTCCATAATACGTGATCAAGGGATAAATGCCTTGCGGCTGTTTATTTAGAAACCTATCTTTTTCCAAGACGGTAGATCGAATGTTAAAAAAAATAAATAATAATAATAATAATAATGAAAAAAGAAACAGAGAATAATTATTTCCCAAGATATCTGAGCCTTTGGAGGAAAGATAGTGTTAACTTGAAGAATTAAAACTTCACAAGCACAATGGAAAGTATCAGCATTGTATCAGTTTTGATCTGTTCCAGGAAAGCCTGGTACAGTCATCTTCAGCAGCAGCAGCAGCACCAACCACGGAGGAAGAAAAACGTGAAAGCAGAGGGGGTTTGGGCTGGGCGACTGCTGCCTGCGGTGCGATGGACAGAAGAGGCAGTGAGGGTAATTGGAGTGATGCAGAGCTGGTTAGAATAGAGCAGATATTTAAAAATAATGATTTGGAACAAGATTAGGGACTCGAGCACCACCCTACAAAAGTGATTACCGGATGCGACAATAACAACAACCAAGAAAACAAAAAGATTAGAATCTGCTCTAAAGTAACTTCTGCTTTGGTGTCAGAGACCATTCCCTTCACGGTCAAAAAGCCCTTAAAATGTTCAGAGTTTAGCAAAGTGATTAATCTAAAAAGCAGAGACAGTGAATTAAAGGAGCAGGGAGATAACAATCTGATAATACAGGAGCACAGAAGGCCTAATAATGATATTATTATGCACACTAACCAAACACTGACAAACAAATATTCTGTTAATTATATAATCATGCATATGCTTCCTATGCTTGAGATAAACGATTACAGAAAATCACTCTCTTCTTGAAACTGCATATATGTGCTAAGCCCTGTAAACTCCCTGCAACATGGATTAATTTAATTTCTGCATATCACCTATGTCTGGGAAAGTTATTTGCCGCAGACTTGGCAGGCGGAGCGTGGAATGCAGGCTTTGACCAGCAGGCATGGGTAACTGCGGGCTGCTGCGTCCTGACGTACAGGCAGCAATCAGATCTCTCTTATCAATACCCAACTACTTGGAATAAACTCAAGATAAAGATATCTGATTTTCATTTGACCTACTCTAATTTACACTTCACTGTGTCAACTTTGATATTAAAATGTTCCATTAGAACAAAGATATTTATAATAAAAACATATATAAAGAAGAGAAGATGAATAGATATTGTCATGGATACGTATGCAGGCAATCATTTAAACATGCAGCAGGAGTAACATCATATTTTTTCATAGCTTCCAGTCAACAAACGGTGGACAAATATATGCTTAATAAAGCTTATCAACCCTTACTAAAGTTGCTGCACTGTATGTCTGATACGTAGATGTGTCTCACACTAGGTTATGCTGAAATAAGACAAATAGTTAAAAGTTGGATTGCATTTCTTCAACCCCACAATGAATTAACTGTCGAGCAGCAGTCTCAGTGGCTGCAAAACAAAACAAGTTCTCTGCTGTGGCATGGTGCCTCGGTGCCTTCTAAGGTCTCTATACCCATCTTTTTTTGTTTAAAATAAATAAGGAAATATGGGCCCATGTCTTGAGGCTTGGCTCTTGGGCAAGGCGAACAGAAAGGACCTGGCAGCAGAGCAAAACCAGTATGGCTGTGTATTCTCTTTTATCAGATTTCTTTGGGGAGATCAGGCTGATTGGGTTTTGCATGTACGTATTTCTGACAACTCTGCGGCCATTTGGGTAATTCATCAGCTCCAGCCCATGCTGGAGGTGATGCTGAGAATTGCTGTAGCAGTAGGACCATCAAGAAATTCACTTTGCTGATGATTTGAACAGTATTTTTCCCACTGTGAAGTGACATGTGTGAGTAGCAGTGACTGCTAAACAGCAAGGCGATGATAATAACAGTCCCTGGCTTTCTAAAGGGTGTGGTAGTTTGCACCCTAGTGGTTTGCACCTTATTGCTAAGTGAGGTAGACAGAGGTATTAAGGGGGAAGAGTTCTGGTGCATCCTTGCTTTCCTTTCCCATGTCTATCTGTGCAAGCCTCAGAACAATGGTGCTGTGGTGCAGACTGAGTCCTGAAACCCTACTAAGTGTTGCACCTCTGATGGAAATTGCTTCTCAGTCTCCTCAGAGTAACCTCCCCTCTGTTTTGCCTTGACACCACTGAAACCCTACAGCCAACCTGGCTGCGGCAGTCACAACTTTCACCCTACCCAAGATCTCTGTACACCCCGATGGGAATCACAGCATTCAGCCACATCCCCCACACTGAGCTCCAAAGTTACACACCAACCTAGATTTTTTTTTCACTGCAACCTGCCCCAGCCTGGAGAGTATGCCTGTCAAAAAGCAAAAGTGCTATGAAATGAAATTCATAGTACTGAGAGGCATCACACACAAGCTGTCGTCCCCTCTCACATTTTGCATGAGCAATTTCTTCTCATTTGTGCTCTCTTACATACAGTGTCCTGAAACAGTTCTGTAAAATGGATATTTAACTTACAGTAGTCAGCTGTATTGAACTGCACTTAATTGCTTATTAAGTGAAGTAAATTATCCTTACCATATTCGCCAGAGGTGAAAAATCTACATATATGGCTACATGTAGTGCATTCATTAGTTTACGGACCCCAAATCCCTTGGAAAGTATCAGATATCTACACAATGTCCCATGGTGCAGTATTTTGTAGTTGGATGTCTCCGCCAGCTTGCAGATATGTAAAATCATATACAAACAGACATCTCCCTATTGATTGCCTATGTGACGAGGCTCGTTTACTCCTGTAGCCATTTTCTGCAATGTATTTCAATAATGGAATTTTCTTTTAAAAGTAGGATTGAACAGGAATATGCAAAATGCAGTTTAGGGTAAAACAAATAGCTTTTAGTCAAACTACTGCACCATTTTGCATAAGCACCTTTCGTATCTCTGTATCTATGCTGACTAAGATACAGCTGAAGTAAATGCATATATTTATACTGATATGGCCCCAACAGTCATTTTGACTTGCCCATTTCTGCTACACAAGCCAAATTATTAGAAGAAAATTATGGAGGAAAAGCCAACAAAACCTTTGGCATGGGGAGGAAGTGAAGGGTGAACATGACTGCCAATGAGAACAGAAATTCTTCTACCCCGCTGCCACGAGGAGTCTAGATGGTTGAAACTGCAGTAGGCAGGTGTCCACATTCCCATAAAAGATTACAGTGATGAATATTAATGGCTTAATCACATAACTCTTACTCTGTAGTTGCCCAATCTCTATCTGCTCTGTGGATAAGCTGAGTTCACTCCCCAAGCATATCAGCATGACAACTTCCACAAACACTAACGCCATGGTATTTAATATAAACCAATATTTTTATGACTACCTCAAATAACAAGCTTCAATTATTTTTTCAAAGCATTTTCTAGACTATATCCTCTTCCATCCATAACAGTAGAGTAGATCCTCGATGAGTCATGCTTGTAATTTCCATGTGGCAACTGCAGCAAACTACTTCACATAGAAATAACAACAACAACAACAAAATGCAATGGAGTTTTCTATAATTGTTTAAATGCAATCAAACAGCTGGAAGGAAGGAGGAGAGCCAGCATCTTAGGATCAGCGAAGTTACCTATGTCGTAAGTATGTGTTCTGCGGGTCACTAATTTCCCAAATTTCTTCCCTAGAGGTATAATTTTCATGCCAATCAGGAGAAGATATTTAATATGAGACATGAGGAGATGAAAAGAGAATGGTTCCTGTTAAAGCCCTGATCATCACAGCACTAGATAATTCCTAGGTAAGAGTCTAGAATGTAGTTGTTGCCTGTTAGAAGAATTGGCTGGTAAGCATTTAGGGATATATCTGAACAGAAGTTCTCTTAATTTAAAGACGTGTAAACTATGCCGCCCCAGATATATAAACGAGTGGTGTTTCCATTGGTTTTGCTTGTTAAGAGCAAAGCTACGCCAAGTTATATCCAAAGTGGTTTGCAGTTTGTTGATTGACACAGCTTCCCTTCTCTTTCCTGACTCCTTTTCCATCACCACCAACCACTGCATTTCTTTCCCAGACAGAAAGAAAAAAAAAAAAAAAAAAAAAGGTTTTTAAGAAGACAGAAGTTTACTTTGACACTTTTGAGTGAGGATGAATTTCACATAGCCCAAGCAAAACTGCACAGTATGGCAGAAAATAATCTGAACCATTGCGGTTAGCACTGCAGGAGGATTAACATTGTCAGCTAGGGTTCCGGTGCTTGCACTGTGTGCTCCAACAGCATTGATCTGTTACATTAGAATATCTCATCAACAGGACAAACAACTATCTTTTTCTTTGACCTGATAGCATGAATAAAAACTGAAAAGAAAAAAAAAATATGGAAGAGTTTAAATCTAAGGAAATGGTTAGAACTGATTGATGATTTGAACTATGTCAAACTTTCATTATGAAACCCAAAACCACATGAAATGTCCTATTTCCAGTTTCATTGTTAACTCAGAACTCTGCCCAGGTTCTTCTAGACTTTTTTTAAGGTTCAAAACCTCTTAAGTAAAACTGCATCTAATTATGGCCAAACTTGACAGGAGTCAATATTCACTGTACATAAAATACATGCAAAATGTGTGGTTTTGGTGTAAAACAAATTGAAAGTTGGTGGTTTTGGCCGAATTCACTTTTTCTTCTAGGACTTGCTCCAATTTCAAACTCAGAAGATTCCGCAATAAGGAAGACAAAATGAATGAGTTTTTCACAGTTCTTTTCAGGAACAATTAGCTGCTATGTTCACAGTTCTTTTAAGGAACAAGGTATCTGTTAATATCCAGGCGCTAAAATAAAAAATGTTTAGCATATGCAGTGTCACTAAGATAAAGGTCACCTATACATGTGTCAGAGTATGCTTAGTTTAAATGCAAACAACATAAGGCAAAAACAAGTCACTTTAAAATGTTACTTCAAGTACCTTATTCAAAATACTTGCACTGATTTTAAATGATTTAAAAAAAAAAAAAAAGAAAAAAAAAGAGAGGAGAGAGAAACGATAATAAAAACATGCTCCAATATTTAATGTATTTGTTTTATAAACCAACTATATTTCTAAATTTCCTGCGTGGAGTCTACAATGGAAATTGGCCACAATGGGCAAGAGCATTTCAGAACCCAAAGGAATGTGGCATTTTTAGGGGAAAATGAGGATAGTATTCATGATGGTTTATTTATGCTCATGCAAGTATTTGAAAGAAATGTCTTAGTGTAAAAAAAAAAATATCTCTAAATGGCAGTGTTTGCATTTTATATTGATGTAAGAATATCCAAGTAAGAAATGAGTGGGAAAACTGAAGCATGGACATGAGGATTCTTAGCAGAGCTCCAGCTTCAATGAAGTCAATTATTTTGACAGTGTCCGTGTTCATTTTCTAAGGATATTTTCTGTGTCATTTTTTTCCTGCGAGTTGTATTACAATCTCATTCACACGCTATCATTTTTCCTTCAGAAATGTAGGTAACATGCTCATGGGAAGCTTTCCTATATTCTGTTCATGAAAAATACGGGGTGCATTCTCGCGACTCAGTTTTCTTTCATTGTTATACCGGCAGAAAACATCTCTGCACGATATCTAAAAATGTGCAGCTTCAAATGTGGTTGGACACACATGAAAAAATGCTCCAAATTTTTACAGTCACAGAAAAGTAACGTTCAAATCAACTTACTCAAATATTTCTGAAACACGGAACACCTTCAAATAAAAGAATTCACCACAATGCCAACAAGAATCAACTACATAAAAAAAAAAAAAAAAAGCAACTATCAGCTCACATCTGTGTGTGCATTGAGCTCTTTTAGAAGTACCTATGTTAAAAGGAAAAAAGAAGAGATAAAAAAATAAATATTTAACCAATTGGTTGTTGCTGTGGGCAAGTAGCACAGGGTTACTGTCTTTTGCTTGATTTAGTTCTGTGAAAATCTTTCCACGACCAAAACAAATACCATGCCCAGTCTGTATTGAAGTTTTTAATAAAAAGCAGTAAAGCAATCTGTTTCATTGTCAAAGGATTGAAAGAAATTTAATTAATGCCTTCAGAGGGAACGCCTATATAAGTATCACAATCACAAGAATGTGTGCATATGCATATATGAATACATATGCACAGCCATAGTCTACCCTGTTGCTTTCATGTCATAACACTATAGGCCATGGGCAGCTGAAGGCAAAAGTGAACTCATACAATTTGACATATCTTGATGACACAATTTTAAGGTTAAATGACACTGTGTAGATTATGAGAAGTTTAAACGCCAACTTCATCACAGGATAATTTACCCCTACAAAAGAAAGGTGGTAC